TGTTTGTCTAGTTACCACCCAATGGTATTTCAGTCCTTATCTGTTCTTTGATTACTCTTCATTAGTCTTTAAGTACAGTTGTTTCTCAGCTGAATCTCTTGGGACAGTTCTGAGGCTGAAGGTGCTCTCTATTTTAGATCCAGTCATATTAATAAACAAAAGATTTTCTCCAAGTGTGTCAGCTCATTCTCTATGAGCTGAAGCAAAAAGTGGCTGATGGCACAAACATGATTAAAAAGAAGCTTCTTAAGGTATGACTGATCTAGAATAGAATAGAATAGAATAGAATAGAATAGAATAGAATAGAATAGAATAGAATAGAATAGAATAGAATAGAATAGAATAGAATAGAATAGAATAGAATAGAATAGAATAGAATAGAATAGAATAGAAAATGAGTAGAATAGAAGTGCCTGACCACTTCAGGGCTGACCAAAAGTTAAAGCATGTAATAACATGGGCATTGTCCAAATGCCTCTTAAGCACTGTCAGGCTTGGGACATTGACCACCTCTCTAAGAAGCCTGTTGCGGTGTTTGACCACTCTCTCAGTAAAGAAATGCTTCCTAATGTCCAATCTAAACCTCCCCTGCTGCAGCTTTTAACATTATCTTAGGAGACATAATCTGTTTAAAGTGTTGTGTCATAAATTTAAGATTTCATTTAATTAAGGCTGACAAAGACAGTTTATTTCCATCTAATAAAATACTCTTAGGAAAGAGTTAATTGAGTCTAAGTTTTCAGTAACACATTTTATATAAGAAATTTTTTGTCCTAGCTTTTAGTATCGTTAGTCAGCGTAATTCATAGTGAACAATTTTGAGCCAACCAGGAACACTGTTATTCACACCTACTTTATAAGCATGATCATGTTGTATGTCATTGGCAACATAGTAGTGTTTCAGACAGGAAGTGCTTTGAAGAGTAAAAAGGAAGATTTCCCCAGAACAATTTAACTCCCTTTGCAGTCCTCCAAAATATTTTGATTGACACTCAAATGCTACAGTCCTTACTCAGTCAAAATGACCTACAGAATCAAGCACTCTAAGGTAGTCATTTTTCCCTGTGGAACGTGTGAAGAAAATAATTACAGTTATAAACACTTGTAATAAGAAATATATAATTGCTACTTCTCACTTTATAAATGACTGTACAAGAAAAGATGTAGTAGAGCGTAAGGGAGTAGAGAATAACAACTTAATGGCACTTTCTGTGAACACTGTAAGCACAGTGGGCCTTGTTTCCTAATCGATTGCACCTTTTTACATCTGCATAGTACTGTCGATTTTTTGGAAACAGCTTTTGACAGCACTGATAGTAATTAAGTGAACTGAGAAATAAACCTGCTCACTATTCTTCAAAAATATTAATATGCATGATAAAACACATTGGATTGCATGCCAATTAAGTAGAGAGTAACTTGTCAAGACTATTTTTCTGGTGTTTTCTTGGACTGTGTTATTCAGTCAAAGCTAAGCAACAGGCAGTATCTTGTTCTCTCTTTATAGTCTCTGTGCCATAAGGTTCTACACAATCTCTGAAGTTCTCCAGAGCTCACTGATACATTTCTTCACAATTTACCATATTTACAACATATCAAACCACATCAAACCTGAAGAAGACAACTTGTCCTTTTCACTGTTTATGTTTTCCTGATGTGTTTATCACTTTCATGATAAGCATTCCCTCAAAGATCGTATAAAATCCGACTCAGATCTGAAACACTCAGCTATCCTTTGTGTGGTTAAATGAAATCCAGGAGGAATGATTTAGCAAACCAAACCTACCTCCAGCAAGTTTTGCCCACCCTTACTTATCTTTGTGCAAAAAGCCAGATGAAAACAATATTTTGTAAATAAACATTAAATAGCAAATGTATTCCACCTTCAGAAAACTATAAAGACTTAAAACTTTCTTAACAGTTTAGGCTTTCTTTTCCTTCTTCTTTTTTTTAAAAAAAAAAAAAAATATGCAGGTATCTTGTTCTCCTAAACAAGGCTAATAGGTACTGAAAAGAGCAAGGAATTCTCAGATCTGTGTTAGTGGAATGCTATGAAAACCAAGCTGCAACATGCATGTTGATGTACAAATGCTAGTAGTGATTTATCAACATGATTTCCACATACTCGAGTACTCCATTCAACCCACATCAACACATGCAAACACAAAATACACATTCATTTTACTGCTAGAAAACCTGCATCTATGGGAACAAGTTCCATCAGTGTTACAACAGTAAGTTTGGCTTGGGCATTATTCAGCAATGCATGTAGTTTTTAAATTTTAAAGGATGAAATAATTCCACCTGTGTGAGTTATGTCAATATTATACTGCTTCTGCATAAAAATACTTAGCTTCACAAATATGAGATGAAGAATGGCTAACTAAGCAACAAGTATGCAAAATAAGCTCTAAGTTTTTGAAGTTGAATTGGATCCAAGGTTTTCAACTACTGCAGGAAAACAGCCTATAAGAACAACAGCATTATTATTATTATCCTCATAACCCTGATATATAAACAGAAGCACTGTTTGTAAGACATACAACTCAACTTTCTGACCTCCTAGTCTCTGATAAGGCTTATTTCATGTGGGTCATTTGTAAGTTGCCTACAAGATATCTACAAGGTTGATCAAAGGCCTGAGAAACTTGGCCTATGACAACAGTTCGAAAGAATTTGTATTGCTTAGTCCAAGAAGAGGAGACCCAAAGGAAGCATCATAACTTGTTCAAAGCTGCTGAAGGAAGAAGAAAGCAGAAGAGGAGGGAGGAAATTTCAAGACAAGTGAAACTGTGGGAGGGTCTGTCGGAGGATCTCTATAGAGAGGTAAAGTGGTCTGAGACAAAACAGAGGAAGGCCCTTTTCCATAATATTTATAAGCATCTTCCAGCACCTGAACATGGGCAGTGTGCCTGCCTAACTTTCCTTCCTTACCTTCACCCTCCTGGACTGTCTCTCCCATCCCTCCCTAACTCCCAGAGAGGTAGAGCTCCCTGAGAGCACCACTGGCCTTCTTGATGCAGGAACAGCCTCCTACTGCTAGCTCCTTTCCCTTCCCTTGTGCCTCACTCAGCCACCCTCCAAATTAAGCATTTATTTCCAAAGATCCTTGAACAGGCTCTATGTGAAGGCCCTCAAGGATTTAATGACTGCCAAAAAGTGAAGTTCTGTATTACTTTTAGGATACCATAACATGCAAATCTGGTTTTGGGGAAGCCCAAAGCACTGAAGAGACATTAACTACTTGAGCACTCACAATGGCTTTTTAAATACTGTTATATGGTCTGTTTGGTTTTCAGAGGGGAAAACAGATCTTGGGAAGTGGTGCATCTTGCCACACTTCCTCTATTGCAGAAGTAATTGATGTCAGGGGAGAGAATAAAAGATGGGAACTCCTGGGTCTTGGGATTCAACCTCTAATTTCATAACAGCAAATTCATCTCACTAGAAAAAGGAAGGATTTTATTATTTGATAGACTTACACTCGGTCCATACCTTTATACATCTGAAAGCTGATCTGAAATGCATATAGAAAAGAGGCTTACTTAAAGTACCCCTGTGTCTAAACTGTCTGATTTCAGTGTTAACAGTTTGTCTCATTTCTACCTAAATTTAGACTGCGTGTTCATAACAATTTATTTTCTCCCTACTGAAGCATAGGTTCATTTGTTATTTTGTCAACTCATCACTCATTTTTACAAGGCTCAAAACCAGGCCCCACATTCTTCTGTTATCAGGTGCTTGTCAAACTGCAGCTCATCCACAGGCTTTCAGAGGTCCATAAACTTAAAGTACCATTTCACTTACCTGTAATATAAATTCGTAAATCTGGGGTTTTAACCAGGCATACTTGTTGATTTATATAAAGTCTGATTGCGTTTTGTTAGCTTGGGGCCAGAAAGCAAAAATGTAAGAGATGCGGCTGAGGTTTTTGTCTGTTTAGTTTTGCTTTTTTGTGTGTTTAGTAGATGCAAGAATGAATATTACTCTACATTTTGAATAAATCACACATTTCAATTACGACTTCAATTACTTGTACTTTAAACTTGAATTGCTGTACAAAATGAAATCTCCCGAAAAAACTCTTTATTCTTCATTCTAATGTTTTTATGTATAGAGAAAACGATTACTTGTGTTCTTGCAAAGGGAGAAGTAAAGAACTAAATGAAAATAAATATTTATATCCCAAATATGATAGACTGGATGTAGCATTTCACCAGACCTCTGATACATTTGTTATTGCATGTGGTGATGATATTGTAGTGACGAAATCACGTTGTCAAGGTAATCCACTGTACTGGAAAGTACCTTGCAGAGATCTTTTATTTTCTACTGGACATAGAAATTAGCCCTTCCCATAGTAAAATTTGTATTAGTGCATGTAATTGTGGAACCAAAGGGCCATATTCCATGAGCTAACTCACATCCAAGTTTTTTAACACAACTTTCAGACTCTCAACAGAAAAAAAAATGTATTTATAAAAATGTACATAACTTTGGGTTTTGAAGTTTTTCTGGATTGCTTTGTCATTTGACTTTATTTGTATTTATTTCTCTTTCCATGAAGTCTTGTATAAAATATAGCTATTTAGAAAAGTGCAATCAACCAAAATTATCTCTTGGTTTTGGAGAATAAAAAACATTGTCCTGTAACTACAAAATGTTTCTTCCTATTAGAAGATGCTAAAATTAGAATTGTTATTATTCCATGGGGTTTGCAGCTGATTAGATTCATTTGCCATTTCCACCTTCATTTACACTATTTTTCTGAAATTCGCACATCAAAAAGCAAAAACAATTCTGTTACACCTGAGGTGTACTACTCCCACAACAGAAGTTATGGTCAAATGATAAAAGAAATGACAATATTTGAAAACTTACACTGCAACCTGTTTGTTTCAGATTCAAAAGGGGAAGTATTTGAGGGTGAGTCTGCATCCATGTATTTACACTATCAAGTCTCTTCCCTTGTTTTTGAAAGTAACTCTCAAAACACATACCTGTTTCAGGTTCCTATCAAGGCAAAGCGGTTGATGCCTGGTAGCATCCACTCCTTCTTTTCCAGATCCAGGCCAATTCCTGTTGAAATCACCAGAAAGAATCCCTCTGGCTTGAGTAAGAAGTTAAATTGGGCTTTCTTGGGTTTGTGGTATAGCCTTGGGCAAGACACAAACCCTCTGTCCCATAATTAATTTATCTGCATGCTACCTTCCAATATTATAGCAAGCCAAGTTAATACTGCATTTGGAGTGTGTAGTTCTTTTATGTTGCATTTCAAGCAGTTCAAAGCAAGGTCTTATTTTAGGTACCTATGTATAATTATAAAACTAAGATCATCAGATGTTAGAAGTAGATAAAATCTGCATTGTACACAAGGGTATTACAGAGTTCTTGGGGTTTCTTTTTCTTCCTATAAGATAATTAATTTTCTGTTTGCTATATTATCTGAAAAATGGACAGGATAAGATAGGGACTGGTTAACAAAGAAAAATAATAATTTTCATTATATTTATATTTTTTTCCCTTATGATAACTTTAAAGTTATGACACAGATCCCATATTACTGCATTTTGAGGGGTTTTTAAATTGAAAGTAAGGAAGGATGAATTTTACTTCTGATAAGGAAAAAAAATACCTTTCATAAACTGAAAGCCTTTTCTTATGGCGTACACTCAGTTTGAGGCATGAAAGTTTCAATTTCTGAGCAACTTTGCAGAAAAATTAAGTAGTAAAATATATACATGCAATTTTTTTATTTCAGCTGAAACATGATTTAAAGGACAGAGAACGAATTGGGGCAATACTTGCTTACAAACACAAGTTGTAGCTATATCCTATAAAAATCAGATCAATCATAGATTCAGGCTTGCTGACCAAAAGGTATTTAATTGTTTTTACAATGTGGACCAGGTCTGATAGGTTAGGACAATGAGAGAAAATTAGGAAAGGAAAAGTTTAACATTTATTTCCAAACACCCAAGGTAAGTATCATAACCAATCCCTGAAATTTAGCTAATGTGGGGAATTGTGTGACTCATCTGACTAAATGCGTGTTTACTACACCAACACAAACATCTGAGCTGAGGCCTTTTTATACACAGCAGAGCTATGGCCAATATTTGATGGGTATGTTTCATCCCAAACTGGATGCCTACATTTGGTCAGATTAATTTTGCCCCACGTGGCATTGATCATATTTCCACTGACTACAGATGGTGAGTAGGTGACCTTGTGTGACTAGCTCAGATGTGGAGACATCTACATAACAGACACCAAAAACTTAGATAAAGTAATATTGGCTCCTGTGATACTGTGAACATAATTTTTGTAAGATTCACTCGTATGTTAAATAGATCTAATAGAAGAGCCTGAGCAACGCATAGTTTAAAGTAGTCAACATTAAGCTGCTTTCTTGGAATATGAAAGACCTTGGGACAAATCTTTGCTCCTTATTATTCAAAGCAAGGACTGAAATCACTATATTTTACACCCTGTCAAAGTCTACTAACTTCAGGGATACCATAGTTGCTATTCTGATGTGAATGGCTTTTAAAACTTTGGAAGATCCCCTTTTCATTCCAGTGCAGTATAGGATTCATTTGAAAATCTCTAACAGTTCAAAGGGATGAAAAAAATTTCTGCTCATTTCAGTTCCACACCTTTTTTTGCTACAGTCAGTGCCTCCAAGGCACATTTGAACATCTAACCCTTTTGATCCATCTGGTGGAATATATACACAGAGCAGGAGTAATTTAAAAGGGGAGTTGATTTACTTTAGTTTACACATTCATATAGCTTTTTGCTATATGCTTAACATGGCACACCCTTACCCAGTCCCTTGGCACACTAATTGAACCAGCCTTAGATTGCCTTAGAATTTCTTAGCCTTAGACTATGAAGGCTAGATTTAGAGATGATCTGTCAGATGAACAGAGAATCCAGTGTGGATCTAAGGTAGTTTACATACCTGGCAAATTAGATAAATTTAGATTACCGCTAGAGTTATTTCATCTCACAGCTACAGTTACTTTAAATTTGCATAAAACTTAATTCCTGAAGGTGGCAGCATCATGAGCAAATTGATATACAGCCTTCAATGCATGCAAAAACCCAGAACATGACCATGCAATAATAAATGTTAATTTAACAGTAGTGTCACATATGACCTTTTAACATGTACAACTGAGAACAAATTGGGTGTCAGCAGTTGTTTCAAGATTTGCACTATTTCCCATGTTTTTCTCTTGAGCTGTAAAACTCAAAAAGAACATCCTTTCCCTTAGATGTTTTTTAACATTTCATGCTATTGCTCTCCATGAATTATTATAAGCATTACATACCAGAAATGGTTAATTTTGAACATTTTTGGCCTGATTCATTGTTTCACAAAGGTCATTTTACATAACACAGGCACTGTAAATGGAACCACATCACAGATGGATTGGCTTCTCCGTTCACTTTAAAGCCCTGTTCATAATGTGAAGTGAATACTGTAGGGAGTCCCCATTTGCCTACAAGCTTTTTTGAGCCTTTTTTCTTTATTATTCATAGTTACTAGCTTTGTCTGTGTAGGCTTCTGGTTACAGAGAAAGGAGGGGGTAAGGGTTTCACCCACCTTTGTCCCTACGTATACAAAGACCTGAATCACCCATTTTTACATAAGCAGATTTTTTTTAAACTGCATTTGGTAGCAAACACTTGATATCATACTGAAATCAGGGGACAAAAAGTCCCATTAAACATAAAGATTATGGGATAAACCTTTTATTTAACTAGACTCAAATCAGAAAAAGCAGAAAAGAGGTACAAGTTGCTCTTGCAGAGTCCCTGGGACGGACAGAAAGAATCTCACTCTGCCCCCAGAGGAATGCAAGCTTTACTCCATCCCCATCTCCTAGGGAAAAACAGGCTTTTCAGAGAGGGTGAGTCCAGCCTTTCACACTTGGGTAAGCAGGGTGAACCACCCCATGCAAGGTGGCACAGCTACGGGAAGGTAAAGCAATCTCTGGGCATGTTCCCCGGTACTTCCTCCTGGAAGAAAGAATTTACATCATTCCTTAATAATGGCTACACCTAAATGTTGCAAACTAGCCCTTAGTTCTTCCTAGCCATTTTCTGGTATGCAGAGCACATTTTCCAGTCTAACAGGACTCTCTGCCCGCTGCACCACAGGCCTCTGGTTGTCAAGTTCCCAGAGCAGAAACCCCCAGACCAGTGTTTTGCATTTGGGTCTCACTCAGCTGGCGAGAGTGGCCTGGCTCCCCTGCACCTCTCCCGGCGTGCTGCTCTCTCAGGGACACCCAGGAACTAGCCAGCTCCATAAAGCACATGCTATTTAATTGGAAGAAGAATTTAAGAGAAAATGTGCCTTAAAAATGTTGATGTAGCATAAATAATACTTAGCTTACCTGCTTGTCATATGGTTTTTTCCACATCGAAATCCTAAGGAAGGTTTGCCTCTGTCTTGCTCAGTCTTACATCTGTCAGTGATGAGATGGGTAAAATGTCTTTTCTCTCATGTCAGAACCAAGATTCTCCGCATTTTCAGATCCTCTGCCTTCCAACGCTTCCCAAACCTGACCAAACTAGTCTGAGCAAATCCCACAGAGCAATACATCAAAAGAGTTTTTTCTGTTTCATTTTAGTATTGCAATTTACCCTCATTATTTTTAGTTCCTACAGCAAGCATTCCCTGCACTAACAATTAACCCAGGAAGACTTTAACTAACAACTCTGTAAAAATGTGTATATAACCTCGGTAAAGTCAGAACAGCTGCTATTGAATATTCTGTGCTTCTATAATATCTGCAATATTAGCATAGATGAAATGACACTGGTGCTGACAGCCTGTTGTTTGTGTTGGGGAGTTCCTGATGCAGCTTCTTTAGAATTTCACTTCAAAATTTTTTTTACCAGTTCTCTCTGGCAAAAATGCAGCTGTCAGAGATCCACTGCATTGCCTGTGGCCCCAGCTCTGCCAAGGCAGAATTAGTTCATCTCTGGTGCGGTTGCACGATCATCAGTATTATAGCTGTGGTTTTGTTTTCACCCAGACCACTTTGCCCTCCAGACGTGCTTGTAGACTGAGATGTGAAGACAACATGTCGGAGTGTATCGCAAGGAAAACTGGAATAGCTGAGCAGTATTACCTCAGCTAATGTCAAGTGGTACTGACCTGCCATTCTGAAAAATCAGTAGAATAAAAAATAATTATTACAAGGAGAAAAAAATGTATATAACAAAGGGCAAAAGTTAAACTGAGCGGAAATGAAGACTGTGACTGACTTCCTTCTACTTCTGAAATAAACTTAGACTTGCAGAAGGGCCCTGAGTGTAACAATGTGTATAAACTGGACTGTGCCCAGACACGGCAGGGTCAATCGCCAGAATGCAGTCCTTCCTGTGCACCCTTCTTCCAATGGCAGTTTGTCTGTCTCTTACCTCTATATCCACTCATCTCTGGTGACTGTCACACAAAGAAGGTAGGAATCCCATCTCTTTATTCTTCTTTCCACTTCTTTCTCTCTACAGAGCAATACTTTCAGAAATTTGTTTTCCCAATTTTTACCCTGAGCTTCCACCCAGGGTATGACTAGATAAGCCATAAATACTTTACAGATCATTCAAATCTAGCTGAATGATAAGGAAGGTTGTTTAATAAGATGCTGCTTAAAAGCTTTTCCAATGTTCTATTTAAATCCTTGCATTTTAAAATTAATTTAAGGTTTTTCCTGTTTCACATTCCAGATGAAAATATATCACATATTTTGATGAGTGAAAATTAATCTGGATTTGGGGGAAAAAAAAGCCAATGCAATTGCACAATGAAAGCCTTGGAGCCTTTCCAGCATTCACAGGTTAAAGATGTCAAAGGGTGTTTTATAAAAGGGTAAACAGAAATTTACATGATCTCTTAGTCATAAGTAGAAAGTTTTACCACTACATCTGGTTGCTGTGACTCCAAAAAATATTCACAATATTTTTCTGACAATGTGAAAGTGGCTGGAATTCATCACAACAACAACAACAAACAACACCCGATGTACAAAACATTAGAAGTACAATGCAGCCTTCATATAAAAAAATCTTTTTAATGCACATGCTTGATGATCTAGTACACATAAACAGAGACTTTCAATATATAAATATTTCCTTTATTAACCTAGAAGGACCAGGGTGTGCTGCATAGTTATTTGTGTGTTCTAAAGCACATTTGCGTTTCTGCTTTTACAGACTTTTACTCAGAGAAAGCCTCAAACTGAAGTGTTTCAATTGTACCTGAATCCCTAGTTGTTAAACCGATATCAGGCTTTCATGGGAACCGAGAGCTTCAGAAAATCGTTTTTAAATCAGGATGACTTGGCTTGGGAGTTTACGTTGGCTTCTGTCCAAGCAGAAAGATCCAAAAGAGCAAATTACACCTCCACACCCAGTTAGAAAGTCTGCAGGTAATAAGTTGTTTGTTAAGTAGAGTCATTGCGTTAGTAATTTTAGCTGTGTTTGTTCTTTGTGGAAGGTAACAGGCTCTTCCAGATAGTTTCAAAACACAGCAGGGCAAAACTTGATCTTATTAAAACTAAGTTTCTGCACGAACTGTTGTTTCTCACTTCACAGGTTTCCTCTGCTCTTCTTGGCCAAAATTGTTGCTAATGTATCTTGCTCTGTGAAATATTTTTTACAAACATTTATTTCAGAACCTGCACTGAATTCATTTGCTTTAGGGAAAACAAGCAAAATCACAATGTTCACAGCATTTCCTTTGCCTCATGGTCCTGTCTTCATATCCTTGTTATATTTCTTCCAACTGGAAGAAAAACAGTTCCTCTTTTTTGCAGAAAAGTTCTGCTACCTTTTAAAAAAAAAAAAAAAAATAAAACATGCTTGCACAAGGTCAGTAAATCATATTAAATGCCTTGTAGCTTCCTTAGACTTCTGAATTTCAGTGTTACCTAAAGCTGTAGCTCAATTCTGATCAATGAATGTCTTATTATAGAAGCCTGATCAGAAATATTTATTTTCCTGAGTGGATTTGGCTTCAGAAAGCAAGGATGACCAAATAATTAAAGTAAGACTCATGTTTCACTTGGCCCTTTGCTGTTGTACTAGGAAATTGCTCTTGGAACTCTGAAATGAATGAAAAGGTCCAGAACTGTTGTCTTTCCTCTGTAACAACAATGAAACATCCCAGCTAGTTTCAGTGAAGTGGAAGACTTACTCCAATTCACAGAGGTGTAACTGAAGGTAGAGTCTAGTTCAAAGGCTGATATACATGTAACGTGGAAGCTCAGCTTGTTCCTCTGGCTCTGTGGGACTCCTCAGATGAGGAGGAAAAGCAGGATTGCATTTTGTAGAGAGAAATACCACTTTAACTCTTACCATGTTAAACCACAACTCAACCCACAGGAAGTCTGCCATGCAGGTGTCTACAGTCCCTAGTGAAGATAACCTTCCTAGCAAAGATAACTTTCCTAGCCGAGGAGTCCAGTGCAATGCAGTGCCCTCAATCACCCATATATCTTTAGGGTGTCTGCAGACTACTGGCATAACCTTATGAGAGATGTAGCTGTGGCAACCAGACACGCAGGAATGGCAGGCACAATTCTCTCAAACTTCCTTTGCCTTGCATACCGCTGCAAAATTGCTGTGCAGACTCCTATCCCCTCACTGAGGAGCTCAGCTGTCCCTCAGGCTCAGTGACTACCACTGACACTGGCTAGGGCAGTTTGAATTATTCCAGCTCTCAGAAGTGATTCATCCTTCTCATGCCCATGTCTCCAAGCGTGCTCAAAATCAGCATATTTCAACTTGCATATGGTTTCTAGGCTAAAAAATGTTCAGCTGCCACTGCTGTGGATCATATGGTTAATTTCCAAATGTAAGGGGTGTGAATGCCTCCTTGTTGGCTGAATTTGTAATCTGCAAATCATAGGATAGATTTTCTTTTGCTTTCTCATACCTCTGTGGAATTTCTCATAAATTCAACTGGTACACAGACTCTGGAGCTTGTTTTGCAAGCTATGCAGAAGTGGTCTGGTAACATATATAAACAGAGTGTAAGCCTTGAGGCTTCTTTTCCAACCAGCTGTCAAAGCTCTGAAACTACCGCACGTTTAAGGCACTGAAAGAAGTGTGGAGCATGAGCCCAATGGAATGTGTGGTATTCATTTATCTCTGGAAGTTTACATGTCCTGCTTGACGAATTAGAGCTACAAAGTGACAAAGATGAAAGAAGCTGCAAAGGAGTAAGACCCTCTTCAGATATGCGAGCAGCTTGAAAGCTTTAGTTCACCGAGCAAAACTTTGTTCCTTCATTGAAAATACTTTCAGGGATGAACAATCAATCTTGTATTTGGCCACATTGCACCCTGATGGTGTTGGAACTCCAGTATGAGTTGTAACAACCACTCTAGAAAAGGACAACCTTTTCCATTTAATTGATAGTTTGAGAACTGAAGCTGAAATGTGAATAGATGCCTGACCTTGTGTCACAAAGGAAGGGTTACAGGAAAGGCAACAAGCCACACATACACACTAACCACAGAATCGTCCTTCTGTCTTTTTAGGAGGCAGCTTTAGCTCTGTGCTAAGCATCCACAAAGATCTGCAGATGACTGTATGATCAATTTGAAGCTAATACTGTATGTAAACAGCCTGTATTGCAAACTACTTAGAAGCTAAGGGCATGTTTTTTATATATTTATATATTTGCTTTGAATTTAAACAAAATGGCAATGTGATACTGCAAGCTCACTGTGAAACCTGATGAAGAATTCATTTAAAAATCCAAATTACAAAGTTTAGAGTTGGACCTGCCATGCAGCTCACTTAAGTCATACAACATTGTTTCTGTAGTCACACCATGCGGAATAACTTCTGTAAGTGGAGAAATATCTTTGCAGTGGATTTCTTCAGAGACAAGGAAAGCCAACTCACTGTAGGCCTCCAGCTGATGCTCTGACTTGCTAAATGCCGTCATCCTGTGCTCCCTCTGTAGTCACTGGGAGGAGATAAGCGTCTCCAGCAAGTAATTGAGACCTTGGATGCTCTGATTCATCTTCTACAAGTGACTTCCTCTCCACTGACTGCACAGGGAGACTGTGATCCTATTTGATTTACCCAAGTTAGGTGCATAAATTTAAATGAATTAAAGATTCCTCCAGACTAGCCAGGGGAATTCCAATGTATTCTTCCTTTTTGTTTTCTTTTTTGTCCTGGAAAGCAAGTTACACAGAATTTGTGTTTAAAATATGTGTATTCCCTTCTGCATATGAGAAAGCCATATATAGACCGGCCATGATATCCTTTCTCACAGAAATAATAAGGGGTTTTTTTATTATTATTATTGTCCTCAACTGCAATGAGACTCTACCCCCAAATATTTGGGGAATAGTTTGGGACCACTCAGCTCCTCTCCTTTTTAGCCATAAACAGAATCATAGAATGGTTTGGGTTGGAAAAGACCTTAAATATCATCTAGTTCCAACTCTCCTGCCATGGGCAGCGACACCT